AAGGTGAGGTATACAACCAGGTCAAGGTTTGGGATCTGAAGCCACTCCAAGTTGAACCGCTTGATGTAGTCTGAAGCTTCTCATCGGGTTGCTGGACAACATTCAGTAAATAGGTCATCGACTTCGGGAACTGCTTGCTTGTCGCAAAGTGTATGGTAAAATGGTCGATGAACTGAATCCAACTCTTAATGGAGCCCGTGGCCAACCCCGAGTACCACATCCAAGTTGTGCCCCTAAAGGTGGTCGAGAAGGCCATGCAAAGGCTCACACCGTTGGCCTTGTTTAGCTTTATCAAGGCCTAGAAGCTATCAAGGTGGTCAACCGGGTCAATGGTTATGTCATAAGACTCTAGGCTAGGGGCCTTGAAATCCTTAGGCCATGGGGCCATGAGGATTTCCACAACTAGTTGCGAGGTTCGGGTCATTGGCTACGCAAACAAGGTGTCGATCTGGCACACCTCCTTCTTTTCTTCCTCTTTCTTTTCCACTTCCTTGTTGTCATTCGAAGCAAGGCGGCTCCTTTCTGTGTTGTGGCGTGCACATCTGTGATGCCTTCTTTGAGACCCTTCAGTGGAACTGGTAGCCTCGGACATCACATCTCAGGTTGATTCCACAACGGGAACCTGGTTTTGGTTGTCGTGACAGCGAGGTGGGTCGTCAGGTTGTTAGTTCTAGTTGGAGTTCTGCCCTGCGACCTGATGTTGGTGTTGTTGCTGCTACTATTGCATCCCTGGTAATGCGGCAAAACCACCTTCCCACATTCTCATCTCTAGGTTAATCCCGTAGACGAACTACACCAGCTCGTTGAATTGATGACCATCAAGTCCAACAGGAACCACAGAGGGTTCAATCATGGAAGAGGCACATCTACAGTGGGTAGGGGGTGGTTAGGGTTGTGCATGACAAGGACGCCTAGTAAGGTCAGGGACACAGTGAACTGTCCAATAGTAACAGAGAGGACATCGGTATGCATACTAGTCAGGGACACAATGAATATCCGAGTCCAATTCAATATCCAATGGATATTGAAATAATATCCGAATTCGAATCCGATTAAATATTCGAATATTTGATTCAATTCAATTAATTAATTATTTTAGATAATTAATAAATATATAAAATAAATATTTTATTGATATAAAATATATAAATATTTTATATAAATTAATTATTATAATATATAAATTGTATAAAATATTTTATATATTATATATAAGAATTAAATAATCGGTCGAATTCGGATATTTATCGAATTGAATAAGGTCATATCTGAATTCGAAACCGATTAACTATTCGATATGAATAGGATACCCGAATTCAATTCGATTATATTGAATATCATTGAAATCAGATTTTTGAATACCGTTTACACCCCTAGTTAGAAAGGGGGTGTGAGAATATGGCTTGTGTGTAGCATTCCCACAGACGGCGCCAATTGATGATGCGTGATTTGGTGCTCCCTGCTGGCAAACAGCTCAGTTGCCAAGATGGTGAGGTTGCTTGGTTGAGCTACAAAAAAAACAGATCAGAGTGTCTGAATTGCTTGACCTGAGGTGGGCACTTTGATGCTTAAGTCAGCAAGCTGGTAATTGTTTACAAGAAAGCAAGAGAGCTAGAGTGCTTAGAGAGCTAAATCATGCATACCTTGTGAGGTTGGAGGTGAGGCCCTTATATAGGCGAGATACCGTGAGCCTCACAAAACGCGTCCAGGATCCCCCAACCCATCTAGTTCGGAGGTGATTTCACGCCTAGAGGTGGACTCCACGTAAGTGGGTAACATTTATCCAATCCCGCTCGAAGCAAATGGGGTGATAGCCAGCTCTTCTGACGTAATGTCATGATCCCGAGGAAGTCGGAAGCAATATCCTACTAAAGGGGGAAGTCACTTGATACGTTAAACAGGTCGCTAACCAGAATCAAATCAGATCGGTAGAAACAAGTCGCCTCTTACACCAACATGAGGCCTTGCTATCAGCCCTTCCAAACTGAAAGAATCATATTTAGGCCTCTGATTCACTTATTCCAGCATTCGCCTTATATAACCATAGTGCTAACAAGCCTATTAATGGCTAGCGTTAAGGAATTGGGATCTGCTCCTCACAGCCACATCTCATAGTATATTGGAAACATCATAAATACATGTACATGCACAGGAAATGTTCTAGATGTGTGGTTAGGACATGTTGTGAAGTCGGTGTGAAAAGCACTCTGTGAGGAGTAGATCCGAACAGCTTATTAGGCCTCAGTTTTATATGGTTTTCACTTTTCACCAGGTTAACAGGTTAGCCACCAGATCAAACCCCCAAGCCAGTTTGCCAGGTTAAAAAGCCGTCCAGATTTTGAAACACTGGTTTTTGGTAGGGCTGTTCATAAGAATGCCCAAACCGACCAACCTGGACCGACCCAATCCGAGTCGACCGGGTTTTTATCAGTACCGGTCGGTTTCGGGTTGGGCAAATATATAAATTGATATATCAGGTCGGTTTCGGTTTTCTTGTGTGAAAACCGAAACCAACCCGACCCAAACCGAACTAGTAGTAGTTCCTACTTAACTATAACTAGTCTTCTACTAGAACTAGAAGACCCATTAGGCAATTACAATTAGAATAGGCAATTTATCCTAGTTTCTAACTTTCTATAATCTTTTACACCAAATAAGCAACTCATTAGGCAATTACAATTAGAATTCAATTAGGTGTCTGATGAGAGTAGAATTTATCATATTTTTATCCCCAATTATTCTGTCTTTTATACTAAATTAGCATCTAATTGGACTCATATCTCTTGTATTTTGGTCCAGGGTATGAAAAAAGGCATCAAGAGCAAAGAAAGCCAAATCGGATGATTTTTCACAATTTCGACATCGTTCAGTGATCTGGGCGTAACTCACGTCTCCGAACTCTGAATGGGCTGATTCAAGATCCACTGGAAATATAAGAGAAAAAGACACAACTTTCATGTTTTGGGCTTTCGCAGATTCGGCCTGTATCGAAGTCAAATCCGGGCCCGAGGTCGCGAAAAATTCACAGGAAGGCCCAATCCGCAGCTGAAGCCCAACTTGTAGAAAAGCCTGGCAGCAGCCCAATTCGCAGAGGAGGTCTAATACGAATCCAAGAACAAGAAACTGAGAAGAGTCCTTCCAGATCTAAATTCTTGATGTAATCTTAGA